TTAAGGTCCTGAGTATCGCGGAGCGTTCCTTTTTTAGAAATTGGGCCGCAAAGTTATCTCTGGTAGATCGTTGAAAATCAATAATTTCGTCCGAATGAGAATTTCTGGCAAAAATTTATCCAAAGAGTCGAGGGAATATACTGCCGTGCTAAGTAAAAATATTGTATAAGCATTCGAATGTTGCCAAATTTCTTCTTGGAAAATATATATTTTTGAAGAAATTTTTTAATATTTCTCCTTGAAATTTTCAAGGAGTTCGCTATTATTATCTATTTATATCATTTAATATCCATAATTAACCCATGTAAATAGATACCCTGTAAATGTAATGTGGTAGTGGTGACAATATGTACTTTATCTAATAAAGTTTAAAAAAAAAAAAAAAAAAAAATTCAAACTTTTTAGATCAAATTGCGAACAAAACCCTGCAGGGTTCGTTTCACAGAGAGGTAAATAAAATAGTGTTGCCCACTCAAAATTCCTTCGGGATCTTGAAGTAGGATGCATACACAGTCATTTAAGCCTAAAATGAAAATATTCTGTCGAGCTCTTCGAAAATAAAAACTGATTTTTGTGTTTTTGGCGCTAAAATGGCCTTCAAAAACGATCAATGATTCAATTCCGATGGGTTGTGCATATGCAAAATGGTACATGTATAATGAAATCTACGTATTTTTGGACCAGGAATCGATTGAGCAGGGTCCCGAATCGGTTTGAAGCTTCCTTGACCGAAAAATGGGCCTTTTGTGGGATTTTAGGGATATTTTGGGCCCATTTTTTCCCAATTTTGGCGTGAGAAAACCTGTGCCGTCATGGGTATTGATTATTAGGTACTTTCGGGCGATAAATCGAATGCGCTTGGTCCCGAGTCACTCCGGGGCTTCTTAGGCCGAAAAATTTTTCTCGGCTTGGTTGGGTTAAGATTATTTGTTTGACCGAAAAAGGAGGGAAAATAGTTATTCTGCATATAAATATTATAAATCCACAAGAGGAGTTCATTTTTCGAGTCCAAATTTATTCCGTCTCTTCATAAAGCGCATACGATTTCTCGTCAGAAGGTCTTTGAAAACGAGAAATTGATGTGTATGTGTGTGAACCCGTCAATCAGTGCAGATCAGCATGCGTGCGCACTGATATCATTCTTCACAGCGCATGATCAGATCTGAGATATGCATCGTGCTTTCATGCACGAGCTTACACAGTGGACTGGCTGAAGGAGACCAAAGGTCATCAAATTATAGAAAAGTTTCTTGTTACTTATTCAGGAGTCTCATTTTAAAGTCAAAGAAAGGCCAATTTCAGCATCCAGTTTGAACATAGAAGACAAAAAA